TTGCCACTCGCTTAATTTCGTTCTAACCGTGCCGTTCTTTATTATTTCATGAAAAAAGATAATGAACCTGGTCTCCCGACACACAACGAAAGGGCGCGCCAAACCCAAAATTAATTTCATGGAACAAATCAAAAACGCTGTAATGGGCTGCCCAGACCCATAAAAATTACCGCTCAAATGTTATCAATGTATGTCAAAAAAAATTATTTAATCCCGTGTCGGGACTGCGCCTTCGACTCCACGTTTAATAAATGTAGGATCAAAACCCGGTAACAATCTGAGATGCATAATTGTATCCCTTGTTGCACATGTTTCCCAAATTATAGAATTAGGAATAGGATTGAGATATGGGATTTGGAATAGGATATGATTTGAAATAGGATAGGATCGGAATATGGGATTAGGAATAGGATTGGATTGTGAATGGGATTAGGAATAGAATATTCTGATAGGATTTGAATGTGTGATTGAAATATAGGAATCGGAATTAATAGAAATTGAAATAGGTATTAAAATGGAATTTGGAATTATTATTATTATTACCATTATTATTATTATATAAAATAAGAAATTTAAATTGGAATTTGAGATTAATGATATGGTATTTTAAAATAATAAATGGAATTTGGGATGATGTTATAATGGCTTGTCCAACAATACACACTTGCTTATCATGTTTTAGTCTTGCCGAAGTGTCTTCACAAATCGCCCACGAAAATGGGAAACACTGCGAAAGGCACCGGCTTATTTGCCTAAACGCCTAGGTTTCATCACAAATCAACCACGAAAATGGGAAACCTGCGATAGGCACCGGCGAATGCCTAAATGGATAGGTAATTGCCCCTACCCAAAGGGTTGTCCGAAGTCATCACAAATCGACCATGAAAATGGGAAACCTGCGATAGGCACCGGCTCATTTGCCTAAAATGATGGGTAAATGGTGGCTGAAAGATATCCTCACAACCGCACATTTACCCGAGAGATGATTTGTTTTATTCTCCCAGTTAATTTGAAATTTAATGTTCGCTTCGTTAAAAAATTGGATATATTTGGAAAGATCAGTTATTGAAGTGTTATCTTTTTATAAAAAAGAAGTTTTCAACAGACCCGTTCCACAAAAGTAAAATGAGCCCATTCCAAAAAAGTAAATGATCGTAAAGTAACAACATAACGTTCCAAAAAAGTAAATGATCCCGTTCCCAAAAAGTAAATGATCGTAAGGTAACAACATAATATAGAATTTAGCGTTAGACTCCATCCACACACTCACAATTTGCAATGACATAATGTCCAATACCAATAATAACAATAATGAATTAATTTCACATAAAGCCGTTGGAATACCCTTAATTCTCTCAAACATTTTCGTATATATTGCGCTAGAAAAAGACGTACTCTCCTGTTCTCTTGTAAACCGTTGGTGGAATCAAATATGCATACACATATGCATTGCAATACCTTTGATAAGTATTGTTTGGATTTTTGTAAAAAAAGAACTTTGAAAAACTTGGAGTAGAGAGAAAAGATTGCATTAGGATAGCTAGAGAGAGTTGCGTAGAATAACTTTAAATCAAAACCAATTTTCTTGATTAGAATCACAGGATTATTGATTAGCATCACAGGATTAAAATCACAAGATTAATTCTTCGATTAATTAAAAGTCACAAGGGGGGTGGGGGGAGTCGGTTCATAGTAAAATTTAATTACGTGATTTCTGACACTCCCCTTATGTAACATTATCTATTTTTATATTGGCTGTTATATTAGTGCACACCCTCCCCAAGATGCGTGCACTTATGGAGATGTTACTGTATATTGTTTTTGAAAAGTAGCTAACATGATCTACCTTCATTGGTAACACATCAACACGTTGATCCTACATAAATTAGAAAATCGACTTGTTCTTTTTTGTTTTCGGGATTGTCAGTTTCGCAACCATGTATTGGGCTAGTGGCACGGCAAAAGCTTTAGAATTACCACCGTTGACACAAAAAACTTATGAGCAAGAAGAGCTAGAGAGCTCTACAGATCAAACGGGATCATCAAGTCAACCAAAAATCCTGGCTTTGATTCGTAATAAATCTGGAAATTTGTTTGTCACTTTAACAAGTACCTCGTTACAACTCTGGGGATTTCGGGTAAACTAAATATTTTTAGTAATAGAACCGAAAAACTTGATGGGACATGTTTTTTGGCTTACGTGTAAAAATAAAGAAGGAAGTTAAAATGAAAGCTTATTATCGATAATTGAAAAGATTCAATGAATTAGTTCCAAATATAAGACATAACGAGAAAATATTAATCTGATGATTATTTCTTTGTATCGTTTGATTTATATGACTCTAAATAATAGCCAATCGCCCTAATAAGCCAAGTATCCCGTACAAAAAAATCCATCGAAGAATATGGTGAGAATCAAAATGTATTCTGGAAACCTGATGGAAGTCTCGTCGTTGTGCAGGTTTTATTTTTTTCCCGATTAAAGTAAATTTTATGAATTAAATTAATAATTGATGAATTTAATTAAAAATGTGAAGTCCAAAAAGACTAGTTTTTGTGATGATATTTTGAATTTTTATGTGTGTTATTGTCTTTTGAATAACTTGTCATTTGAAAAAAAAATAATTTTTTCCTAGACTTCCAGAAGTTGTCTTTTTACTTATAACGTAATACCGTTTGACGATAAGAGCTATAAATACCAATTTGGAAATGTTTCTCATCATTATACAACTGGTGCTGGCGAGGGAAATGGAGTCAAAACTTATTTATTAAAGTTTAGGATGACTATTAGAATTGATGCTGGAATGGAGGTGTAAGTGTAAATATTTAAAAATTATACCAAATTATTGTAAGCTGATTGATTATTAATGAAGTGATGTATGAAAATTTAATATATACAAAGAGCAATTGGAACCGAAGATTATTTAATTGTCACCACAAAAAGTCCACCTGCTATTCAATGTATACCGTGGCAGGCAGAACCGGGAGCAACAAAGACTAATATTTTGGCTAGGCTTGATTTCTTGCATTATAAAAAAGGTGCGTATATTTGTTATTTAAAAAGTTTGCTATTTGCGGGTGCATCGATTCGATACATACTTAGCTATTTTAATATATTAGGGATTACGCGCATAGTATATGATCGAAAGATAAGTCTTTTTGGATGGATCACATCCGATGGTCGAGCATATGCTGTGCAATTCAATGAAAATCCACCACTTCCTGTAAGCTTATCTGATATAATTTTTGATTGAATTATCATCATTATAAGATTATTGATTATTTTATAATTGTCTTTTTTTCTTATTTACTATATCTGAAAAACAAAATAAATAAGCCAGCGGGTGTAAAAAATCCACCTATATATTGGGCGGGATTTTCTTTTCATGATGAAGGATCTTCAAAAGCCACTTTTATCGCCATAAATGCAAAATTTTCATTATTGGCTGTTGGCACTGAATCGTATGTTTTTATTTTTTAATTATACGTATCTGTTGTTTTAATGAATTAATTTTGTATTGATGTACTTTATATATAATATAGTGGAATTGTATATATATATTTTGCAAAGAATTATAATGGAAGTATACATCTTTCTCATAAATTATCATTATTAGATCATTTAGAATCAGCGTCTAATATCCTTTTTGAATGACCATTATCATTATTATTTATCCAGTCAATTTAATTTAATTATATTTTTAATTTTAAATATGTTATTCTTAATGGCAAAATACCAATATCCACAGGACCTGTGACGTCAATCGCGTGGACTTCAGATGGTTACGCGGTGGCTGTGGGTTGGCGAGATGAAGGACTGGCTTTATGGAGTGTTTATGGAAGATTACTTATGACTAGTATGAGCGATGATGGACCGCAGTCATTGTAAGTTTTAATGAAATAAATCGATATATCGTGTCAATATACCACTCATTGTGAATAATATATTCATTTAATTTTTGCTCATCATTTATTAATCAAATAATCAGACCTAATAATTTTCAAGATCAATTTTTATGTGGTATTGACAATTTGGTAATTTGACAATAATGAACTTTTTCTTTTATTTTTATGGTTATTAGCTAAATATTGATTTCGCTTATTTATTATTTGTATTAATGTTCAAAGTTTTGGGGTGTTGGCGATTATGAACTTTTCATATTACACACAAAACGGAAGGAAAACGGTAAATAACTACTCTTACTATTGATGTATCCAAAAAAAAAATATATATATATATATATATATTTATTTTTGTATTTGTATTTAATATATGACATAACTAAGCAAAACATATTTCGCTTGTACATTAAAAAATCAGAATGTCAAATATACAGTTTACCGTTTGTAAAATCTGCTGTTACGGGATTTCATAGCCCTGATAACGCGAAACGCGGATTTTTACAAATGGATGATCGGCTTTTACTTTATCGTGGTGGAGACCAGGAAGATTTGAGTGCGATTAATCCGGACGCGATTGTTTGGCAGCATATTTCGGTATTTTACTGTCAATTATAAAGTTTTTTTTTTGACAATATTTATTTCGTTAATTTTTTCATTTTGAATTTTTTGACATTATAAAGATACCAAATATGTATATTACTGATAATTGGCCAATAAAGGTATAGCGATTATGACTTGACTATAAATTTTTTTCTTAAACCCATTTTTTTTAATTATCATATCTTTATGTTATATTATTTTCACATCCAATAGTATGCCTCTATAAGTAGTGATGGTAGATATATAGCTATTTCTGGTCGTCGTGGTTTAGCACATTATAATGTATCTTCTGATCGGTGGAAACTTTTTGGAAACCAGCAACAGGTATTCTTATTTGTTAATGACGCTTTCTATAGTAAAATACTATAATAATTATGGTACACTCTATAAGGAACAAGAATTTGCGGTGCGTGGTGGATTATTATGGTTCAAACATATTTTAGTGGTTGCATGTGACAATCTAAGAACGCATACAAACGAGGTAAAAAATTAATGATTTATTTATTGAAAAAAGTAAATATCTAATTTTTTTAATTCACTTATAACAAAATAGATTAGAATGTATTCGCGAGAAACAAAATTGGACAACATTTACATGATCCAGAATGTTCAAGTGCCTAGTAACATACTCTACCTGAGCTTACTGGATAACGCGTTACTCGCCTACTGCGGCGATAATATGATTTATCATTATTTGTTGACTTCCGCTTCATCGGAAACCACTGGTGGTGCTGGTGGAAATTCAATTGGACTTAAGTTATGTCAGCAAATTTCTTTCACTGGAGTCATTCATGCGCCTGCGAGAGTTAGATCGATTTCTTGGTTTCAGCCTAAATCTCATAGTAAAGTATTTTCAAGTTATTTATTGCTTTTAATATTTTAAATTTCTTACGATTTTATCAATTTAGAATCTTTTACGCCGGATAATATGCAAACCGCATCAATCATATTCCTAATTGATGGCAAACTAGTGTTATTGCATCCTCAAAAGGTTCCTTTCAATTTACTTTTGTTGTATCTTTTTGTTGTTTTTTTTCCTCTTTTTCATATTCTATTTTTAAAAGAGCGATGCTGGTGAAGTGCAATATGATCTACACGTTCTCGCTGATAAAATTGAATTTTATTGGATGGCGAATCGTGGCGTGGGAAGCTTAAAAAACTCATTATGGGCTTGCGACGGGAAAGGAGTTAAAGTCAGTCTAATAGTATATATGAGTTGAATGGAGTTTTTATTAATTTTTATATAACTAACATACATTTATAATAGATATGGATGAATATTTGGTCACAAGAAGAAAAAGCAAAGGATTGGCAGAACGATGTTTTGTTGTCGGCTAATAAAGAAGGATTGCATATTTTGCTAGAGTTTTATCCATTATGTAATAATAAGAAGATTTAATCATTCTTATTTTAATTGTGCTTGTGTTTATTAATGAGTTGAAATATAAATCTTTATTTTAGCTGTTCTCCTTGATAAGGGAATTATTGTAGGTGTCGAGCAACAAACGTCTATTCGCCAATCGTTAGAATTTGCTGTTTTCAAATTGGCCACTAATGTAAGTAAAAATTCTTAGGATTCTTTTAACTTGAAATGATATACTTACGCGTCATTTCATAATTTTTTTAGACACATTTATTTCTTCAGTATATCATACGATATATGTTAACACGAGAGTGAGTTTTATTTAACTATTGATGTTACCTGCTTTGCTACGCTTATTTTATATACGTGAACATTCACACATTATTCTAGGCTTGAAGATGAAGCGGTGGCATTTGCAACAAGTTACCAAAAATTAGTATATTTCGGACATGCACTTGAAGTTCTCTTGCACCAAGTGCTGGAAGACGAAGCTGAAAATTCAATTGGGAAAGCAAAAGGTAAGAAATATATTATTATAACACAAATGTCACAAATTCTGATAATCTATAAATTTATCATTTTTCCCAGGTGCAGTCTTACCTCGCGTCATAAGATTTCTTAATCATTTCCCGCACGCGTTAGACGTGATTGTTGGGTGCGCTCGTAAAACGGAAGTGGCATTATGGGATTATCTGTTCTCGATTGTTGGAAGTCCTAAAGATCTATTTGAGGTAAATATTAACAAGTTAATATGTTTTTTATAATTTGGGAAAATTATAATTAACGATATTTACTTTCAAAGAGATGCATGACTACTGGATTCTTGAAAACTGCCACGTCGTATCTTTTGGTGTTGCATACCCTTGAACCTACAGCACATAGTAGCGAGGATACAATACGTTTGCTTACAAGAGCGATGGAAACTGAAGACTATGATGTAAATTGAATCATTTTAAATTTTATTGATCTTATAAATTTTAGTATATCCTAATTTTCATTTTAAAATTTAGCTGTGCACTGAACTAGTACGATTTCTGAATTCAATAGATGGTTAGTATTTTCTTACAGTAAATTATTGGTTTTATTGATTGATTTTTTTTAATGAAAACGGAATTCCCAACAGGATCAGGAAAAACTTTGAAAGATGCGTCAGTTAGTATTAGAGCATCCGCCGCGAATAATAATAATTCTAACATCGATGGCACGCGTTAGTTTTTTGATCATAAAATAATTATAATTATTTATTTTGATTTTCGTTTTTATTTAATCAATTTAGACTATAATTTTCTATATATTTTTTTCTCGGGTAAAGCAATCTCATAAGTGCTTACATCCATTATATGATTTTTTTTTGATTTCACAATCTGCAAATTCATTAACACCTTCAATTAATAAAAAAATCTTCTTTCTATCAAATTTTATTTACACATAAGATATTAAAACTAAATATAACTAAATGTCAATGTTCAAATAAATTTATTAACTTTCTATGACTGAGATCCCAAACGGCACAGGAATGTGCCAATGTTCAAGTTGACGAATTATGAAAGATGATAAATTTTTCGCGTATGGAATGATGCTATCTTTAAGAGAGAATACAAATTCGATGATACGATGTGTCGTTAGTTTTGTAGATTCTGTTGATGTGTAATTTTTTTCCGTTGAAACGAAAGTTGTAGTAGTTATGCCATCATCAGTTTCACCAATGTTATTTTTAGCTTGAACTTTCATACTCTCACGATATAGTCTTCTGAATCGTTCTATTGCACTGATACTCTCGGAAAATCGATTAAATGTGTTGAAAAGAGCCACGATTTCAGTTCGAGTTAGTAGATTTGAATTCACATGTGGACTATTAGATTCAAATAATCATGATTTCAATATTGTTAATATTTTATCATCGACGCAAAAATTGGAAAAAGAGAGGGTCATTACTCACTCAAGATATTCATCATCGTATGAAAAAAGAATTTTTAATGCTGTGCCAATCCCAGTTATTTGCAATTTTCCCCACAATCGGCACTTGTCACATCCAACACAATCCATTATACGAGAGACATTTCTAAAGCGATTTTTGAATTCTTCTTTTAATAACTACAAAACATCATACATAAGCTTAATATTCGTATTTAACCAAAAAAAAGAACGGCAATGTATATTATTCGACTTACTCGAGAATCTTCAGAAGCAAACATTAATTTCTCATTAAACGTCCTGGGACAAGATGTCACAGCATTCACAAGCTCGGTGACCATATCCTTAATTCTTAAATCTTCATTCTTGTCACCACCTGCGCAAAATTCGTATTCTTTCAAATAGTGTGACATCTTTGAGATTGCTCGTAAGAGGATGACGTAGTCGAAGTAAATGTTTTGAATTCGTTCTGGGTGAGAGCCGATACGAGAGGTAAAACAATCAAGATTCGGTCCCTTTATTAGTAGGATAAAATAAAATAAAATTATATTAGGTATATTGGTGGCTGCTGCGTAGCCCTTAATTTTATTATGCATACATACCCATTCTCCAGTGGTTTGATTCAGATATTCGTCACATATATGTATAGATATGGAAGAGTGTAATCCTAGGACATGAAGAATTTTGTTAAGATAATGATCAAATTACTAAATAGATTCCATAAACGATCGAAAGCTAACCTGATATCAAACGGTAATAAACTCTTTTTTCAAAACAGACTTCGTCATTGTCGTTTCCATAATCAGTTTGATCATGGCCTAACATTATGTTCGATAATTGATTTTTGCATACTGATAAAGAGGAGGTAAGTTTGTTTTTGCGTGACGGATCCAGCCGTTGTGCGACATTAAAACAGTTTTCTTCGTATATTGATTTCCAGACTCGGCCGGCGGATGGTCCTGCGTAGCCGGTGAATCGTTCAGGATTATCTTGAAGGTTGACAAACACACCCTCTAATGAAAAATTATTAATTAAACAGTTGGGCTGAGTTATTATGATGTGACAGATATACACGAGAAAAATGGACAAATAATATATTATCATCTTACCAACATCGTTTTCATCTTCGACTACACAAAAATCTCGATCTGTGAATTCGCATTTTTCAAAAGGACGAAAAAGCTAAGAATAAACGAAATAAAAAAAATCAATTTTGAATATACTATTCTTTGTTCAGCAACAGAACGCATAAATAAACCAACAAAATATGTACCAGCCCAGCAGGTGAAGTATGTAATGCACCGAGCACATCACTCTTGTAAATCTCCGGTACGTCAGACTGTTTATTATTTAAAACATTATTTATTAATTTAGAACAAATACTAGTTAGAAAGATTAAGCCATAAAAATCTAAAGCAAAATTACTAACCTTGTTCATGGTTTCTACTGAACAGGCACGATTCATACATTGACCATTTTCCGTCCAAAAAGGACATTCTTTAAATAAATTAAGCTAGAACAATTCATTACGAAAGGTTAATATAATTCACATCAAGGACGTGATTAATAATAATGATAATAGTATACAATACCTTGTAATATTTGAAAAAGTCTGTTTTTATGAGTTCATGTAGTTTTGGAGAAATATCTGTATTGATTCGCTCTACGGTTTCAAAATCACAGTGGGCATCACTAATGAGACCCGAAGGCTACAAGATACAAGACAAAAAAAGATAAGATAAAGAGCGTTTTTTATTAACGAAATTGGTCTGGGGAAGGTTTTGAAGTAAAGAAACTCTAGAAAACGTACAGCACAGTAATTCGAGTCCTCAGAGACATTATTAATCTCCTCCCATGATCCCTGTTGACGCGTTGTTGTCAGCTGGCTCGAGGAAGACAACGTAAGAGTCCTTGGGGTCAAGCAGAGAAGAAAGAATAATAATAGAATGAATGCGAGAGTAAGGTGAAATAAATGGTTTCGTGATTTTCGCTGTAATTTCATTGTCTCTTTCCTTATAGAAATTAAAAACCTATATAAAATAAAGTAGGTGGCTTTACCAGAGACAAAAAAGAGAGACCAAATAAATCACTGTATTATAAATATTTACAAAAATTTTAAGGAGGGTAAATAATGTGTGCGAAGATAATAACGGGTGGCAATATTTGTCAGAAATTAAAACTCGCTTATTATTTATATTTTTTGATAAAAAGTGGCGGCCATTTTCACAATTGGCAAATAATAATTATAATAACCTGATTAGTACAGTAATTAAACACAATGATGATACGTCTTTTACCTTATTCAAAATTTTGGGATCGGCAAACAGAATCTACTTATATCCAAAGACAACCCTGCCCCCCGGATGTTATTCAGACTAAATTCATCTACTGTTATTGCCACATTATTTAACCTTCCAAAATCGATTACTACTTATCTTTATTTTTGTTGATCTATTACGGTGGGTGAAACCCTCAACGCATCATCCCGCATAAAAATTAATTTTTTAACGCAATGACAAATAAGAAATTCTCTATCGAAAAAACCGTACGTAACAAGAAATTACTAATTCTATCACGTTATTACAATTGCTTTCCATTTATTGCGGATTAATGCTGTTAGCACCGCGTCTTCCGCCAAATCAGTCCACTTTTTTTTTTTTGTTAGTTCCTCTATAGATACAACCGACTATTCTTTGTGTCAAACCTATATTAAGCCCCTTCCAATACGCAGCAGAGATAAAGCAAACGAAAATATGGTCTGATCCACAATTTTATCGTTCGTACTTTCATCTTCACATGCGGGTATTAGCAGAAAGTTGTGCTTCCCCGAAATCAGTCGATGTTTGTAGATGTCTATACTATTAAAAAAGATTATTTGATTCAAACAACCAAAACAAATACCTCAATCTTATTAACTACAAATTCAGGTTTGCCACAGCCATAAGGGACGGTCTGCATAGCAGATAAAACCCTCTTTTTCACATAATTACTCACCTAATCCATAAGAGCCAATAAAAGTCAACAACGTGTGAAATAACAGATCAGACCACTCGGAGTTCTATCAAGCCTGATAATTTCGAACTTGCATAGCGTTGCCCGTAAAAAAAAAGAATAGCCGGATGGATTTTTCCGGGAATTCATATTTTGATTTTACACGTTAAGGTTAGGATCGCGGAGGAGATCATATGTAAAATTGTCAGGAAGACAATTTTATTAGTGATCCAAGTTAACTTTAGACATCTGTTTCCCGTATTTTATTTTTTATTGTCTTGCGCCGGATTTGTCTTTTCGGGTGTTGATCATAAAATTTATGCCATCTCATTGATTAATAATATACCCGACGTCTGTCTGGTTACGGGCAACGCTAGGTAAAAATTGAACTTGTCTGATATTAAATTTACTTCACTTGAATATCATGCTCAATCATGTTTTTAACAGGTAATTAAACAAATATTTTAAGTATTTGAAAAACATCAAAAACTATCAACAAAAGAATGTACATGTACATGTGGTTTTTTTTAAAATAAAACGGCCATATTCGCATGCATGTGCATTCATACTTTGATATTACAAATGATAGAGTTATTACCATAAAGCGCTTTGTATAGTACCCCTCAATTTAAAAATTGAAACCTTAATTTATCCATCTTTCTTAATAAAATTTAATTATTTGTTTCGCAAATAAATAAATTCAAAATCACAGTGTAATTTCTTAAAAACCTTGGTTAATAATTTACAAACCTTGAGGTTAAATTAAAGTATAAACTTTTTAAATTTTTTATAGGGGAAGGGTACTATACAGAGCGCTTTACGGTAAGTATCGAGGGACATATGCTAATTCTTGGTCTGTATTATGCGAGAAGAAAATTTAGATAATTAAACAGTTTCATATACTAAAAAGATCTCGTGAAAGATCAAAAAAAATTATATAAACAATCAATATGTTTACTCTAGAGAAGCCTATTATTAAATTATCAGGTTTGTATTATATTTCAAAATTATATTTATATTTTACAAATGCATGTTTTTCATTAAGATATTTAATTATTTAAAAAACAAGAATGAATTTTAAATTATATATATATTTTTTATAATATTTTTTACATTTCATAAATAAAATTCAACTTGTTATTTATTTTTAAATACAAGTCATTATAGTGAACTTTCAATCTAGTAAAGATTTGATATAATGAAAGATTTTAAATTATAGTATTATTAAATTTCAACTTAATTTTAATAAAGTATATATAGTATTCTCTCATTATAAGCTATAATGAAGATTTTTTTCTCAGTCTGATGACTTTATTATAATGAAAGTTACTTGTATTTATATTTAATCTATATATAATTATTATATATTATTATAAATTCTTTTAGCTTAATTAAATAATTAATTAAATATCTTAAATATATAAAATTACATGATGTATTATAAAAATTTGAGTAAAAATAATAATATTATTATATAATATATAATAAAATTAATCATGTAATTATTTTTATAATATATATAAATAAATTTTTTAATTTATTATAATTATCAAAAATAAAAATAAAATAAATTATATAATATTAATCTTTAAATATTATTTAAAAAATTTAATTAAAAAATTTAAAATTAGAAGTTAAATTATTAGAGTTTAAAAATTTATTATTATAAAAATTAATAAATTATTTTTATATATAATTAAATCTTTATATAGTTATTATATTTAAAAAAGTAAAAATTGAATAATAATAAAAAGATATATAATCAAATCTCTTTATAGTTATTATACTTGAAAAAGCAAAATTAAATAATTAAAGAAAGATAATTATAAAAAAATTTTTTAATTATAGCTAATTAATAATTAAAAAACTTAAAAAAGATGATTATAAAAAAAATTAAAATGATTATAAAGAGATATAATTATAAAGATCTGATTATAAAAAGATTTTTTAATTATATTTAATTAATAATAAAAAAATTTATAAAAAATATAATTTTAAAAAAATTTATAATTTTATTAAAAAATAATTTTATTTTTATAATAATTAATAAAAAAATAAGATATAGAATAATATAATACTTAAATTTTTTACTAATTATAATTAATAAAAAATTTAAATATTATATTATTTTTGATAATTACTATATATATTTTATTTTTAAAAAATTTGATATTTATTTAAATAAAAAAATTAATATATTTTTATAAAACTTGAGATTTTTAGAATTTTTTAAAAATAATAAAAAATATATTATTTTAATTATTTTAATATAATTAAATTATTTAGATATTTTTTTTAGCTAAATTTTTTAAATTAAAAATTCAAAATAAAAATCTATTATAATTTTTTTTCATTATAAATTTAATTTATTTATAAATTTTAGCTTAAAAAAAATATATTTTTATTAATTAAAATTAAAAATAAATAATTTAATTAAGCTAGAAATTTAAAAATTTATAATGAAAAATATTTTATAGAAAAATAAAATAGAATTTTATTTTGAATTTTAATTTAAAAAGTTTGCTTAAAAAATTATTCAAATAATTTAATTATATTAAAATAATTAAAATAATATATTTTATTATTTTTTAAAAATTTTATCTAAAAAATTATCTAAATAATTTAATTATATTAAAATAGCTAAAATAATATAATTTTTTATTATATTTAAAAAATTCTAAAAATATTAAATCTTAAAATAATATATTAATTATTTTATTATTTTTATCTGTTATTATATATATTTTTCAGATATAATTCAATATAAAAAGATTTATATTTTAATATAAAAATTTTTAATAAAAATTATTTAAATTTTAACTAATTTTTATATTTTTTTATATTAAATAAAAAATAATTTTTTATATTATTTAATTATTTTATTCTATTTTAATTTAATAATAAATAAGTAATATTTTTCTAAAAAAATCTAAAATATAAATTTTTTTAAAAAAATATTTTAAATATTATTATTATTAGTTTATAATATTAAAACTTTAATTTATATAAGTAAATTATCTTAAATTTGATAAATAATTATTTTAAATTTTATAAAAATTATAAAAAAATTAAATTATTTATTATATAATTTTTATATTAATTTTAATTAAATTTTATATAGTAAAATTTAAAAAAAATAATAATTCAAAAAAGTTATTATTAGTAAAAATTTTTTTATAAAAGATATATAATAAAAATTTTTATATTTAAATAAATTTTTAACTTTTAATTTTAATAACTTAATTAAATAAGATAAAATTAAAATTTATTTTAAAAAAATAATTTATTAATATTTATTTGAGATAAAAATCTTTTTGTACTAAATTATAATTATAAAAAAATATGATTATAAAATATTTAATTATATAATCTAATTATAATTTTATATAAAAATTTATAATTTTATATAAAAATTTATAATTTTATTAATTTTATTAAAAAAATAATTTTTATTTTTATATATATATATTTTTTTTAATTTTCTTATTTCTTTTCTAAAGAATTATTTTAAAATTATACAAAGTTAATTTTTTTGATTTTTATAATTTAACTGGCTTAATTTTCATAAATTTTTAAAGAAATATTTATAATATAATTAATATAATATCAGATAAACTTTTTTTAAAAAAATTTTTTATATTTTTTAGTTATATATTTTAAAAATTTTTATTATAAAAATCAAGAGATTATTTTTGTATAATCTAATTATAAAATTATTATAAAATTTTTTTTTTATTAAATTTCATTTTAATTAAAAAATTTAAAATTTAAAAAAATATATAATTATAATTGAAAATAAGCTACTTTTATTAATTATAGAAATATAAGCTTTATTTTATATAAAGTTTTTGATTTTATTTATTCTTTGATAAATTTTTGATTTTTATAAGATTTAATTAGAAAAAATTATTATTTATTTTAAAAAACTATTCATATTATATAATATATATTTGTAAAATTAGAAAGATTAATCAAAATTATTAATATTACAATTCTATATTTAATTACGATTTTGTATTTAAATCAAAATAAGCTTTAATTAAATATTAAATTTAATAAAATTTATTTTTTTATAGTATAATTATCAAATGAAAATATGCTTCAAGAAGATTAACAAGTAACCATTTCATATAATATTCCATTCCCTTTATAATAACAATCTACTCAGAAACAATGTTTTTGAATTATGCTAAAGTTTTACTTTCTCCTCATAACATTAATTTTTTTGTCATTTTAACAATAGTTAATCGGGCCAGAATTAATATGTTTTTGGCTGAGCCACACTATTATTGGGATTTAGCGTTATTGATCCGGATTCCATTAAAAATTTTATCAAATCCATCACATTATCTAACATAGTATAAATAGTGCCAACTTTAAGTCATAGTTGTCAACCGTAGAAACGGAAGGCTCTACAAAAAGTACGTTCATTTTCTTACTAAAAGTTCCATTGGCTTTCATTTCATTTTTCCTTGATTCAAGTAAAAAGTTAAAAAAGCCTTATGAAGGAAATAAAAGAGCAAACAGACAGAAACAAGAAAACCAACGTCTTTTTTCACACACAAAGGACAAGCACACAAAAAATATGAATATCATGATATTCAGAGCGCGTCGTCGTTGTCCTGCACTACGCTACGCGCTTTTTTATTCTGAAAATAATAAATGAATGCTTACCGTTATTTTTATTAATATTGTCTCCATAAGAACAACAAAGAAGCTATAGCAGTAGCCGTAAATTTTTTAAGGGCTTGCCTCTCGTAGTGTGAATGAACAACCATGGCGTTCGTTCGGCGAAAAGCCCCCTTTGACGATGAAATTCCTGGCCTGGAACGTAGTAAAAAGACAAAATTAGGGAATAGTAGCCAAGTAACTTGATTTCCTTCTTTAATGATTCTTTTGGCTTTTATTAATATCACTTGTTCTCAATAGATTTCTTTCTCTGTCCTTTTTTCCCCTCTTGGTTCTAAAGGATAAAGAGTCGACATCGCAAGACTTGTCGTCATCGCCGTCTTTGTCAATATCTAAAGTCAGAACCGAATGTGAGAAAATATTGCAGGAAATTGGGAAAAAACAGGCTGACGAGTAAATTTTATATTTGTTCTATTTTTATCATGAACTTTCCAACTTATAAAACAAGCAAACTTTAAATTCAATACTAAATAACAAACTTTTATTGGCAATTTACCCTTTTGTTTATTTAAAAGCGGACACTTTCTAGCCAGCATATTTGAAGAACTTCCCTTGGCAGAAGAGTATCCTACCTATTACTCTGTAATTAAAGAGCCAATCGCATTGGAAAATATAAGAGTAAATAAAAATAATAAATATTATCTTTTTAATAATTATTTTTTGGTGGCGAATTCTTGATTCATAATATCTTTTATTAGGAAAATATAAAAAATAACGAGTATAAAACAATCGAACAATTCAAAGAAGACTGCGATACGATGTTTGCCAATGCTAAAAGGTTTAATGAACCAGGGTCAATGGTTTACAATGATGCTGTTTATCTACAGGTAAAGAATAAAAAATAGATTAAATTTAACAAGAAAACTATGATTTATTAAAACAGATGATTAATTTAACAACATAGAAATTTGTCACACAAAAAGTGACCGAATTGCATCCAGAAAAACAAAAGACGAGACGGACATCTACATCTAAATTAAAACCTGAATTAAATGACAAAACTAGTACTTCCACAGAGGTGACGCCCAATTCGAGAAGGGGATCATCAAGTACTAGAAGAATATCTTTTTCGAGGTCTGATAACTTGAACAAACTAGAAGAATCATCTACATCAGCATCTGCTACATCAACAGAAGCAAATGCATCAATTTCGAACACGCCAAAAAATTCACGAATAAAACGCGGAGGATTGATATCAAATCAAGAACCACAGGAGCCTAAATCGAAGCATTCACCCAGAATAAAACGATCAGCTTCTCTTACTAAAGAACCAAGAATAAACTCGTCACAAAAGTCAACCGCCAAGCGAACTATAACTCCCACACAATCACCTAAACCAAAAAGATCATCTATTACGAGAAAAAATTCTTCAGAAGAAACTTTAATAAAACAAGAAAATGATGCCGATGAACATATGATCAATTCACCAAAGTCTACTCCGACAAGACATTCGTCTAGGTCAAAGCGAAATTCTACTGTTCAACCATCTGCTGTTGCTGCTTCAGAAGAAGAATTTGAAGAAACTTCGAGCTCTTCATCAAAGCCGAGACGGAATAATCGTAATAGAAATTCGGATTTCCACAATTATACCGAAGAAGGTTCTTTTTATTTATTTGATTCTTTACCTAACATGTCGCTTTCATTATACTGACTTCAAAAATTATAGATGCTAGTGAGCTTTTCAGAGTAATTTCGAATAACGATTTCGAAGGCATCCAACAATTCTTTTCAATACATCCAAACTTTGATGTAAACAAATTATGGCATTCAGGCAAACAAGACTTCACCGACGATGACTTCACATGGTCTCCTTTACATTGCGCAGCTTATCACGGAAACAAAAATATTATAAGATTCCTGATTAAACATGGTGCTGATGTGGAACTTCAAGACACGTGGTATTCTGCAACACCTTTGGCGTGGGCAGCATTCGGAGGTTAGCTTCATTTTCACATTCTACTATTATATATATGTGTGTATCTATATCGAATTTATCAAGAATCTCTCTGATAATAATAATAAGCTTGAATAATTAGGAGATTTCGAGGCTACTCGCTTTTTAGTCGAAGAATTCGGTGCAGATATAAAAGCACAGAATGTTCACGGTCAAATCCCTTACGAAATTGTACCAAGTCCAGATCCACATTGGCAAAGCATTTTGCTAGAAGTGAGTGAATTATTGATAAGATAGATATTTATTTCATTTATTTAAATTATGGTAAATAATTAATATTTATAGGCTTCTGAGGTAGAACCTCCGGATAAAAATTCTGTGACACCAGATGACAATGATAAACAAAGAACAGAAAGTAGACCATCTACTCCAATCAGACAAATTGCTCGAAGTGGGCCATCGACACCAGAACCAAGGTCCGCGAGGTCGTCTTCATTACAAAGAATGCCATCTTACTCGATAAAGTATCCGGCACATAAAAGCGTGTCTAATACCAAACAAAAAGGTTCTCAGGTCAGTCAACTTATGAAAGATTTATGGCAATTAATTGTTGATCACCGAGATAGCAGGTAACATAATATAGCAAAATAACTGAGCTTAGCTGTCATTTGTTTGCCAATTACTAATTAATTGATTATCCACTTGAAAGTGGTCGACAATATTCTGAACTTTTCATGGATTTGCCCTCCAAGACAGAATATCCACAGTATTATAAAGCAATCGAAAACCCGATTTCTTTAAACTTAATTGAGGTAAACAAAGTTATTTTTTTATATTAAAAAAGGTTGGCTCTAACTATCAATTTCATATTTTTTTTAATTAATAAAATAGCGCAAGATAAGAAAGGGATACACTTCAATTCAAGATTTTGATCGGGATTTTCAATTGATCTTCGAGAATGCTATGTATTTTAATGAAGATGGTTCACGCATTTTTAAAGACGCCAAATTGCTGCAAGTTAGAACTCAAATTTAATTTATTATCGGTTTATTTAGAATATAAATATAGTATATCCATATTAACAATAAAATTTTTCTTATATAAACATCACAGAAACTATACAATAACAATAAAAAAGAATTGTTCAAAGCATGTGCTGTAGAGACACCTACTACTCCCGGAACATCAATATATTATAAGAGTTCTGTGACACCAACTTCCCGAATTTCAACACCCGAGGTGATGACAGATTCTTGCATTAGAGTATTCGTTAAAAATCGTTTTGATTAATATTATTAACTATAATGTATTAATAATATAATAGTTAAGAAAACCCACTCTTACATTGTCCTATCAATCGGTTACCTATGGAATAGGTGTTGATTTATAACAATGTTAACTGGGTTTTTTCGTTAGAAATTTATTATTAATAATTTTCTTGTATTTCGTAAGGTGATTTTGTATATATAAGAGACAATAATAGTTCAAATTACAATATCATTGTAATTGAACGGTTATTTATGAATGCCAAGTAATATCTTTCTTTTTTTTATAAGGTAAATGATTTTTTCCAATAATTTTCTCTAACGCTTTTACAATTATTAAC